CGTACGATAATTTACGATATCATAACGTCAAATCTAAAATTAAAATTTTTATGGCGAACAAATTTTTAATAACAGCTAATCTTTCTATATGTTTAATTATTAATAATAGATTTCCACTATTTTTTCAATTTTTAATATCATATATATTTTGAGAATTTTGTAATATATTCTATGAATATAAGTATATAGTTTAAAATAAATATCTCATTTATCGGATGATGTATGAGCAGCTGACAATCCAGGCGTGGAAGATCAAGTTATCGCGCAAGATGCTTTAGGACTTATTAGACAGGATGTCGGAGGTCGACATGGCGAGCTCCTGACCCATGTCTTGGATCTTTTAAGGCATTTAACTCTCTCAGGACCTCCATCCGAATGTTCCGAATTGCGTGGATCTCCATTACCTGTTGCGCTTTTACCAGTGTTTTTTAATTTATCCGTAATAATATATGATTTGTAATTGCTCAATACTAAAAGACATTTTAAATCAACTTATTTTGTAGAAAAAATGTTTCTTATACAATTCATAGAATTACCCTTTTTAATATTGAGAATTTTGCTTACACATATTAATCCTTCAATATTTTCTTCTTCATTCAAAATGAAAAAAGTTACGCATTTAAATCCAATTTATTCTGGCCTTACTTTGCAGCCTGGTGACTTGATAAGATGGAAACAAGTGGCAGCCAGATTCAGCGAATTAATTACGGAAGCCGCCGCGCAACTCCGTCGCGATGAACAACATAGCATTCCTACAGAAACCATAAATTCCACAACGAGTTACACCGATGTAAGAAATCTCTTTATTGGAAAAGCAACTAAAAACCCAATTAAAAATTAATATTTTCTTAGCTTAACTTTGAATCATGCTTACTTTAGTGTAATTGTTTTAGTTTTAAAGTAGTTTTTTGTGAACTAACATAACTGCACACTATCATCCATTATTCGTTTTTTAGACAGCCTCGACCTTACCAGAGGAATCTGAAGAATTAACGAGATGGCAAGAGTTTTCGTTATTGTATCCTATCGTGCGACTTAGAGATCATTGTAATATTTGTAAGATATTATTAATTGATATTTTTATTTTGTTAGTACATAAATATATCCATTATTATTTTATTATTCATATTCATTATTATTTTAATCTGTTTCTTATTAGTGAACTTTGGTAGCAGTATCAATGATTCGGTAAAGCGTGTGCTAACGTTTGCTAACGATTCAATAAAATTTTGCTGATAGGTCATGTTGGCGAGATGGCACGTGTTCTTATTACACCGTTACAACGCCCAGTCGTTGGCAGGTTACATCCGGCAATTGCTAATCCTAATTAAAAATTTGATAATCAAACAAATGTGCAAATTATTTTTAGATGAAAATTACTGTATTTATATCGTTGCAATTTTGTCTATGTAAATTGACTGAATTGTATCTTAATTAAAATATTACGTCTACGTGTACTGCCAGTAAATAGTAATGATTATCAATCTAATTAAAATTAATAAATTGTACCTGATAAACTGTAATAATGAAGATATATTTATTTAAACAAGTAAGGAATTATTTGCAAACACATATATTTTCATATATTTACCAGTGCCTCTATACATCGAAATGCAAATAAAAATTTCATACATTGTAAATAAATTACATTATAGAATTTTATACGATAAAAATAATTTATTACTAATGCGCGAGCAAAATATAAGTGAAACTTATTCACATATACAAGGTGTGACCAGAGTGTGCTTCATGATTTAAATTTCAAAATTTAACTGTACGTCATTTTGTGGAACAGCTTAGACCAGCGTTTTTTAGGCATTCCTAAAATTTAACTGTGTAATCGCACATAGAGTACGATATTTTCAACTTTTTCTATAATACGAAAGTACGTAAAAATCGTTTCACGGCAAGCCTACATATGGAAAGTGTATGGAGCTACACCTATGTATATGTATACAGGACATTCCAAAAAATGCAGCAATCAATTAGAGACATATTCCTTTGGTAAAAACAATAATGATATTACTCTTACATAAAATTAAGAGTTCAGAACGTTGATAATCTTTTTATTCTCCTCCAGGTTTTTCTTTCACAAAAAAACTGACTACTTAAAACTAGATTAATGATAACAAATTGTTATTAGCTTTACTTACATTTTCTAAAATTACTTTTTTTTTACATTTTCAGGAGAATTGCACAAGTTTTTACTTCAATAAAACCACCAATTAAGCTACTAATGTAAAATTCATTTAAAGAATATGTCATGACCGATTTGCGCATTCTCTGAGACAGGTGAAAGACGGGCACGAGCAATAGAGAATGCCATTCATTTCTTTCGCATAATGTTAATCAATGAGACAAACAACTGCTGCCACAGAACCTGGAATCGATTGTTGCTACGACTAATTGTGGCTACGACCAAGAAAACCACGATCGTTGTGTTGGTGATTTCGGCGTGGTTGGCATAGACGAGGACGGTGTAGCGGTTGTCTGTTTCAAATTCTCATCAAGTTGATTTTTTAGCCTGACCTTTTCGTTTGTTTCGGCTTGCATCTTTTGTTCATATTGCCGTACATCTTCCAGAGTCATGTCATACCACTCGTCGATCCAAGCGAAAGCCTGTCTGTGACCCAGCAGTAGAATATCTCTTATACACTGAAACCATAGATAATGGAGTCAACCAACGTTTATAATAAATAAATGTGCTTTTATTGGCTAAAGTCTTTAGTTCTTTGAATATTGTATATAATCTCTATACAAGAAATCGAATTATTTTGTATCGCTCGTTAAATGCTTTCTGAACAATCACGATGCTATTTATGTAATTGTCGAAAAAAAATATTATTGAGATGTAAAACACAGGCGAATGGTTAATTAGACAAGCTTACTCTATGAATAAAATCTTCCACTCGCGTTTGCATGCCCCAGACTTCGAACGAGGCGTGAACCAATTTGTACGAGCACATTATGGGTTGCGTTGTGTCCCTCCAACCTTCAACCAGAGGACCACGGCCCGTTCTTTTCGATTGGAAGTACTTTGGGTCCTGTTACGATTAAGGTATTTCAATTAAGCGAAAATCTAACGTTAAAAATTAAACGTAAGTGAATGTTGTAAACATACTTCCTCCTCTTTGTAATGTTTCGCAGAGATTTCATCATATGCAATATCCACAAAATCTATCTCTCGGTGAATTAATTCAATGGGCGACAGTCCTAAGCACTACAAATCAATAATAATAAAATCATCGTCATCATTATTATATTAATTACATTTTTCATTATTACATAAAAAAGTATACGATAACGAAACGTGCAGTGAAGCGAGCGTGATGTATATAATAATAAGCTATTTACATTTTCTGTGGAGCCATTGTTGTCCTCATACCGTGTGTTTATCGCTATGTGGAACTTTGGTATAAATGAACACTGAAAAAAGAGAAATTCAGGAATAACAGAAAATTTTATGGTAATACTCGTGCTAAATGTTACTCACAGTGTATTCTGCAGTCACCAGGAACGAACAAACATGCAAGAAAACAAAAATATAATACAACAAAAGGGTTTTGATTCTCTTTGATGAAAAAAAAAATACAATATTTCAAGATTATCATATTTATCAGTGCTAAGTCAGACTACTTCCCAGACTACTTCCAATTTCCAAAAGTATGAAATTAATAAAAGACCAATTACGATTACGCTATACAAATAAAATAGAATATACCTGTGATAGTAAAAGGATAATAGTTCCACGCTTTTTCCGTCACATAAAATATTCGCGGTAGGATGGACTGGATCCAGTAAGGTAGTTTACTGCAAGGAAAACAAGACGTGCAATGTTTGTTTTAGGAGATCAAGCCATTATAAAATACTATAACACCTATTATAGGCTGTGGTCCACTTAACATACTGCAAATGCTTCGAAGCATTTCTCTTCTCCTTTCTTTCAGGGAAGAAAGAAGGAGAAGAAAAACGCTTCAAAGCATTTGTAGCATCAAATGGACTACAGCTTGATACTGTATGCACTTCAGGCGTTAAGTATATTTAAGAATACAAGACTTACCTGGACAAATGGATTCTCTTTTCAGTATATTGGCCCTTCCCGTGAACAGGATCCTCGCAGACGGCGTTTTCCACCACTTCCACTCCCTCGTCGTTATCGGACTGTTCATGACTGTGTCTGGCGATCATGTATAGCTGGCCGATGCGGTACTATACAAAAGCGAATTGATCGATTACCGCAAAGTAATTCTTACGAAAAATCGCCTCTCAAGAAAAAATCGGCAGACGGGGCAACGAATATCGTCAGACGAACGGACAAATACCCTCGTCCATCGAATAAATAATTAAATAAGCGATCGAGCGTAACGCGCGAAGGTTACCTCTTCCGTGGTGAGCGGCATGGAAATGCGGTACTCCTTCGTGAGAACCATTTTCAATTACTCCGATTGTTTTCGATCGTAGCGTGGCGAGATTGACCGGCTCCGGTTTACGTGCGTTCACTCGCTGGAGTTGCCGTCGTCGACCTCGGTCGATTCTCCGCGTCCGAGAGCCGACGTTTACGTGGGATAAACAATCCGCGCGACGGCGTGGTGAAGTTCGCCGTTTCGCGCGGCGTGATCGATGGGCGCCAGTTCGGCAACCTGGCGGCGAAAAAGTCACAGCTCGGCGGCGGGGATTGGACGGGGCGACGGTAGTGACGGACGACGGACGTGACGGTACGATTCCCCCAGGCGCGCGCGTTCGCCGACAGTTTCACGTGTTACGTGTATGTACGAGGCACTACGAGGGCGATATCGCGGTGCGGAGTGCGGAGGACTGCGGACGGACACGACACGGCAGAATATCGCGTCGCGGTTCACGATGTGCAGGTAACAGTTTGCCGCGCATCGGGGTGCGACATGCGATGGTGAAGCGGGCAGGACTGGGGAGCGGCGTGTGTGCAGCTGCGAGGTCTCGGTGCGAAGGAAGCAGGAACACGGGCGTGAGATCGCCGACAATCGATGCCAATGGCCTACGAAGCGTTATGGCACGAGTACATGCAGATGCCCGTGGTGACGCGGGCTTACACGACAGCCTGTGTCATCACGACCCTCGCCGTGGTAGCTATCTTACCGATCTTGTTTTTTTTTCCACCCTCTTACTCCCTTTCCCACCCCTTCCGCACCCTCTCGACCGCGTCGTCGCCGTCGGTCTCTGGACGCGCGGGTCTTATCGTCGGATCTTATCTTTTTCCCTTATCCTCAAATTCCTCGGATTTTCGAGTCTTTCTCACCTCTCACGAGCATTTAAGGCTGCGCTCCACTTGACGCTACAAATACTTTGGAGCAATTTTCTTCTCCTTCTTTCTTCATTGAAAGAAAAGAGAAGAGGAATGCTTCGATGCATTTGTATACCGTCAAGTGGACCGTAGCCCAAGTTTATTGTATTTATAAGATCATTTAAGTCTCACGCTTGAGCACAGTCGATGACTTGGTTCATATTGTTCCGTTGCTTCCTTAGTAATTGTATAAAAGTGATATTACACAGAAAGAAGCCTAATGATAATGGGGAATAATTTTAATTAAATTAATAACTGACTCGATTGAGCGTACAAGATATATATTTGTTTGCCGATGATGTAATTAATTTAAATGTTTCAGCAATTAGACTTGGTATCCCCGTTTCAACTGTATTTCAATCCTATTCTCATTGTGGAGCAGTACCAGGTACGGAAGTTCAAATATGCAAATATCTATGCAAAGTACTTTGTTATATAAGATGGTTCAAAAGTCATTACCGTCATTGAAAGAACATTTATACATGTAGACTTGCACTTTTTTTCGTCATCTATCAAGTGTCGCGACAACTCACAATACAACTGTAAGCTTCTTTACAGTATAGCGTTGAATTATTTCAGATATGGCGATTGATAACAACATTCCTGTTCTTCGGAAATGTTGGGTTCAACCTATTATTCAATATGATCTTCACATATCGATATTGCCGCATGTTGGAGGAAGGGTCTTTCCGCAGGAGAACAGCTGATTTTGTGATGATGTTCATCTTCGGCGGAATATGCATGATCGTATCCTTGACAAAATGTCAATTGTTATAATTTTAATAACAGTTATAATTATGGCAATGTTCTATTATCAATTGTAACGTTAATATTCTATTGATAATTAAATTAATAACAATTATAATTAACAGCTCTGAATAATAATGTTTATAATTATAATAATAAATAATTAGAATTAATTATTAACGTTGCTATATTCAAAGGGTATAATATTGTTCTTATTGAGAACATTTTTGTCATTATTTCTTAACTTATTCATAGAGTTTTGCATTCTTCGTCAATTTGCTGTTCCTGGGGCATGCATTCACGATAATGCTGGTGTACGTGTGGTCACGACGAAATCCTTTTGTTAGGATGAACTTCTTCGGACTTTTGAACTTCCAAGTAGGACCAATTTAAAGAGATGAACACACGACTTTAATATTATCTTTGTTTTATTACTATTGCAATTTACAGTCTATTCTTTTTAGCTAGATTTCTTGCACCGTTTATCTTTTTTTTTTCTCTCTATGTTGGAAAAAAAGAGAAAAAAATTAACGGTGCAAAAGTTTAGGTAAAAAGAACATACCTTATGTTGGAATCAACTGCTGCATCATTATTGTGGCTTGTATCATGTGACAATCGTCACGTGACGAATCACGCGATGATTACTGATGACTTTGATTTTTTCAGGCTCCGTATTTACCGTGGGTGCTGTTAGGCTTCTCTGTACTGCTTGGCAATACGATATGGGTCGATCTTGTAGGAATGGCTGTAGGGCATATTTACTATTTTGCGGAGGATGTATTTCCCCGGTTAAGAGGCGGTTTCCGAATTCTGAAAACCCCGCAAATACTGTACGTATATAACTCTTACTTATCTTTTTTATTTAAAACTGAAATTAAGATGGAAATTATTGTTATTTAAAATCAATTGAATTATTTCAATAGTTCACTTGTGGAGGAGTGTCTTAAAATTGGGTGATGATGAGCAAACGCTAGATTATCGATGAAAGAGATAATATATAATATTCTTCTCTTTTTCTCAGTAAGACTTTGTTTGACGCACATCCTGAGGATCCAGATTATACGCCACCGCCGGAAGATCGGCCGGGCGGCTTTAATTGGGGACAGGAAGCCAACGTGCAATAATCGAAAAATTCAGCATTCTCTTCCTAATGCTGTTTCTTATGTCAAATTGCCCAAGGACATTGCGGAAACGCGCGTGTCCATTGTCCCTTTAGAATAATCCACAATTTAGTGCCCGGATTTGTATGCAAAGATGTATAATGAGACACGTAAAGTATAATGTACAGAGTGTATAAGAGACCGATCGATTCTGTTTTATTAAAGATCTTCCAAAATGTCTAAAGCTTATTTTTTTAAGCGAAAATTCGGACCATCTAATTAAAGATGATATCAAAGGCGATTGATGATTAGCCTGTAATAATAATCAAATTGTCGTCAAGAAAAAGCCAACTTTGAACTTTTCAAAGAATTTGTAGACAAGAGAAAGCACGCGCGAGTACTTATACACTCTGCATATAAACGAAAAAACTACGCGCTTAACATCAGAAATCCTGTTATTGATTTCCTTAAATTCCACTTGCACATTTATGTGTTTTTTTTATGCTCATTTTTGCGTACAGAATCCGGTTTCTATTGATAATAACTGGAAGCCAAGCGTTGCGCTTCTAGCACTATCAGAAAATATGGATTAAATTGCTTTATTTAAAGTACAAGGCATTGCGAATGTATATTTTGTTTTTCAAACACACAATGATTTTCCAACAAGTTTGAAATGAGTTTAAAATTGTAAAAAAATTAGTAATTTTAGTTGGTATTAGGTAATATTAGTGTAAGCTGTTTATATACGCGATTCTACTGTCGTATATAATAGCTTATTTCATCCTAAATATATTGTAGCGAGTAAAAAGTTTTAGTAATAAGATTATTAAAATTTTCGCAGATTTATATCTGCGGACTTCAGAATCATCCGATTCGATAGAAATAGCATTTTTATGCACGCGAGTGTAACTGAATTGGCATTCCGAGGGTTAAACCCGTTTGTGGTGAACTTCCGGTTCAGCACGGGGGTTGTAATTTTTCACTCGCAAATTAATTAAATTTAATGTATCGAGAATGTCACTTTTGTAAGATATTTGCGATCGGTGGTAATTTTGTGATACACTAACCGTGCTCATTGTTCTTGCAAATATCGATGAGAGAGAGAGAGAGAGAGAGAGAATGCCATTGTGCAAGGGAGACTATTTTAAAGTGTACTAAAGCATTTATTTATATTTATTATCGTAGCGAAGTGTAATCTAGGCAACATCTACAAAGTACAAATCGTTAAATATAAACTAAAGAAATAATATATATATACATACACTTCCCACACTTTGTTCATATGTGTATATTGTGTACTATATGAATATAACGGAGACTTGCATTAATCATAATTAATAACCGTTACTTTTTTTATCGTGAAGACGATAGAAGGGTACTGTTTTTTTTTTTAAGGTTAATCTATTAGTTAATTATCATTGAAGCAAAATTTTGAGTTTTATTTCTTAAATTTTTTAATAATAATTCGGATTTTTAAAAGCAAACGTTGAGTTTTAGCATCTTTAGATTTTTATTTTTTTTTCGTTTGAAAAAGAGACATCACTTTTAGTCAAGTATGATTAATAACCAGCTTGAATGTAAATTTTTCTGTGATTCTCATAAGCGCTTTGTACAATGATATCCTAAGCTAAACAGATGTGAATTTTTTAACATACCTCTAAATGTTGTGCAAATTTATTTTACAGTGTACTGATTTAGACAAGAAATTTGAACTCCCACGTGATTACGAGGAATAATTAATTGTTGTTTTAATCGTGATTTTAGATCCTTGGGTTTTGAGTCCTTTAAAATTTTTATAAATCTTTTTGAATACCACAGATTTGTATCTATAGCATTTTAATTTTTTAGATTTGCACATATTTATCTTCTCTTATATCTTTGGCTTCCAGGATCATAGGATGCTTCTTCTTTGCACGATATTCCTTGCATTCTTGTAGCTCGATTAATACTTAATATATTAAATTTATAATTCTAATGTGGATGTTGCGATTTTTAAGTGGGTTTTTACATCATTAATCTTGAAATTTCTGGTCGTTTCCTAACATTGTCATTTTGATACAGTTAACGACGATAACATCTTTGATTGGTTCCTGTTAGGAGGCGTTTGTATTAACTCTTTCAGTATCTCATTAAGTGTATAGAAACCATATTTTCTTGTTAATCTTGATTTCTTCGGTCTTTAAATATTTTTTTACTTTTAGATGTAAATGCATACACTTAAAGAAAGTGACAAATTTACCAAAAGTGGACGTGCGAAATATGGCACGTAGATGCTGAAAGGGTGAATCAACAAGCACATCCGCAATCGCCAAAGAGTACGTTAATAATTATCAAGAGCTGTAAAGAATTGAATAATAATGAGTAGAATAAGAAGTGATTTTACAAAACCATTTATTTCGATTTAAATAATAAATGATTAGCGTAATAGGATTAATATGATGTATAACTAAATACATATACGCAATGACATGGACTATAATACAATGATCATCAGGGCTCTATTGTACACTTGTTCCTTATTGTTTTATCATATCGCCACTGTTGCTAAAAGCACCGTGATATCATCTGGTTTACCACCTGGAAAGTTCAAAATCTACTTTTGCACGTTCTTTCGTCAAATCTCCTTAATTTAAACTTTTTGTTCTTTTAATTCAAGCAAAATCAATAAAGGAACATTTTCAATTAACATTTAATTTTTTCTATAAAAGAAAAGAAATAAAAAATTGCATCATATTAGGAATTTATCTTATGATTACTTATCTTTTTTTTTTACATAAGTAATCATAAGATAAATTTCTAATATGATGTAATTGAGATATTTTTATATAAAGCGATTTTTTTTATATCCAGAAACCGTTGCTGCTTGAAATACAGCGTAAATAATTAGTAGTGTCTTTCTTTTACATACCTATTGCATCGATCCCATTCTCTCGGGCATTTTGAGCAAACGGAGACATAAAGGCGCCATCAAACGCCAAACGACGCGCCATCCACGCTATCGTGTTAGCGACGCATTGTATTTTCGTGGGGTCTCTCTCGCCCTCAATCTTACGCATCTCGGTGACTAGCAACTGGTCAGGCACATTGTCGAATACCCCGTCGGTTGCCAGAAGGATTACATCGCCGTCCTCAACCCCGAAACTCGAAGTGTCAGCGGATTCTGGACTGAATAGGAAAAAAGAACGTAATTATTCATAATTAATTTTCATGAGGATTGTGGTATCGTGATATAAATATTAATATGTGCAGTTACAGAAATACACAGAGATAAGCAGAATAGATAAATCGCTGCATAAAAAATAATCTACCTGTCACGAAGTACTAGATCAGAATGTCCCGGAGGTGGCAGCGACAATTGGAAGGGAGTATTGAAGTAATGTTGTTGCTCCGAAGACCGATGTACCACCTCTCCCCGTCGTACAACTACGAAGCCGCTATCTCCTATATTGGCTGCGTAAATGCAGCTCGTCTCTTTATTAAGAACTATCACACACGCGGTGCTGCTACCTGTACACCAAAGAAATTTAATTAATATCAGAAAAAATCTTGAGACACAACATTTCCAAATAATTTTGATTTATCTCTAATTTTTTTTTACCCACGATTAAAGGGACAACACTCACCTAATATTGGTTGTTTATTTTCTAACAATTCATAGTAACTACGTGCTAATAAGCCAGCTGGTTCTGTAGGTGTGAATCTGCCCATGGAGACTAGCCTCTCACACGTCCTCATTAGGAAATTAGAAAACTCTCCTGGATCGATTCCATAATGTCGCCATCCCCCCACACCATCAGCCACACCTGAAACATTAAAAGGTAATTAGTACCTGTATAAGGCAATTGTCTAAATAACTGCCAGTCAAGTTTACATTCTCAAATATGTACTTAAAAAATTCAAGGTTTGTCTTGAAAAATAAATATTCGAATTACAATTAATTACAATTAATTTAAAAGTAGAGAATCTACATATTAACAATTATCTATAACATAAAATTATTATCTTTAAATTATTTTGTGAATAATTTAAGTGAACAATGTATGCCAATAAGGTACAATAATAATTTATGCACTTAGATTACAGACATAATTAATTAAATAGGTATTTTATGCTTGTTAAATGTATGAACGTTCAACATTACTTCAGATAGTTAACCTGGAGTAAAAATTGTGTAATATTATTTATTTCTCTTAGTTATTGTGTCCGTATTTAAAGCTGTGTGATTAAACTTTTATATTTAAAATAAAGCTATATAGTATACACAATGTTCATAAGTTAAAGGAAAGAAGGCAAAAAATTAATACATATAAAATGTATAAAAAGAATTAATAATTTAAAATCTCTTAAAGTTCTTAAATCTTCAGTCACACTTGCTGCATTTGAAGTAAAGCCTTTAAAAGCTCAAGCTTTGGGATGGAAAAAAAGGAGGACAAAAACTGTAGGAGAGTGTAGAAAGCGCAGCAGAAAGTTCAGTCAAACACCACACGCGATGAGAAGACGATACATCTTCTGAAAGATAGTTTTACGGTGAATTTGGAGTTCTATTCTTTTTGACCGCGGTTTTCCCATTTTTTCCTTTTTACAATCTTTTCCTCATTTTTTTCCAAAATTCTCTTCCTTTGTTTGCTCCAAATGCATACACTTTATTTCTTTTAAGTGTAGCAAGCGTAAAATTAAGAATAGCAGATCTTTTCCTGCTAAGAATTTACTTGGAATTTAAATTGTTTGTTCGGTGATTTAAACATTCCACATTGTCCACCAGTAAACCGTTGCTTGTTGTCATTTTAGAGAAAAAAAAGTAAATTTTTTTCAACCGTACGATATAAAACTGAAACGGGCATAATCGAGATAAAAAAAATTATAAGAAAATATAGAAATTAGTTAAAGGAAGCAGATCTCTTCAGTCCCAGCTGATAGAAGCTTCTGAAAGACGTCTAAAGGACGTCCGAAAAATTATGTCGTCTTTTAGACGTCTTTGTGATGCCTTTTAGAACTTTTTGCTATGCTAGCTGGGGCCGACTCTGTTTCAGGCTTTTGGACAGGGATTCCGGAACAAGAAAGGGACAAGAATCTTGAAATGGGGCGGCTAGGAAAGAGCAAAGCCCCAGCACGCGCGAGGCGATCGCGAGGCGTACTCCCCGCGGGAGTCGCCGGGAGTCGCCCACCTATGACTTCGGCCGTCCTGAATCTGGCAGTGAACCAAGCGTCGTCGCCGAACTGGCCCCTGCGTATCCGGCTCCGGGCAAAGTCCTTGGGGAAACCGCACACGGCGGAGACGAGCGAGGTCTCGCGGCGCCTGGTGCTCGCGACGGCCGCGCTCGGCTGCTGCTCGCCGCCGCACGCGGTGCTATAGCTCGCGATGCCGTTCCAGAGCGCGCGCGACAGCAATCGTCCAGTCCAGTAGATGGATTGCATCGCGGTATTGGCTCGCGATATACTGTCACCGCTCACGACGACGACGACGACGACGATGATGATAGCAACGACGACAACGTGGAGTACCGTGCGATCAGCACCAGTGGAGTCGGCAGCATCACGACGCGCATTCCTTTTGCTCGTTCCGTTTCGCTTCCTGGGCCCCAATTATCTCGCCGACTCACAGCCGTCTCGGCACCATCCTCTCTCTCTTTCTCACTCTTTTTCACGCGCTCTGTCAGGACTCAAGACCCGCGGCCGAGGAACCACGAGGAATCGTGCGACGCGAAACTGTCCACGATCGTCCCCGCGCTTATCGTTCATTCACCACACTCAGGAGGCACGGACTGGCAGTCACGGGCCACGGGAAAAGGTTCGGTGAATCGACTTGGTGCGCGGTCACGTGGCGCGCTGGCGTCGGACTCCGGTTAGACTTCGGCCTTTATGTTCTTTAGGCTCGCCCTAAGCCGGCTCCATACGGCGCACGTACAATTACATATGTTACATACGTGTGTATGAACTTCATACGACCAAATACCAATCTGCGGCGACCAGGTGACAAATCGTCATACTGGACAACGAGAAGGTGCTTTCTCGAAAGAAAAAATAATAATGAATGTATTCTCTCGACGGCTGACTTAGAAAAGCCTCCTAGGATCTCATTATTTTCTTGAATATAATTAGGGCGCGGCAGAGGGAGGAGCGGAGGAGAAATCTATGGAGACACATTGAAATGCTTTCGGTCGATAATTGATTTGTCACTTAGCGAGATTAAAATAGCCAGCAGTCTATGTTAGATAAATGTGTGCATAGTGCATAGCTGTGTTATCTCTTTCACAATGCACTTCCCGAAGCCGCTACAGTGGGTCCTATTGCTGAACTGACTGCGCCAGTTCAGAGTTTATCTTTTGCCTTCCAATGAGTGAAAAAGATAAACTCTGAACTAGTGCAGCCAGTTCAACAATAGAAAACAGACCCTTGATATGTGACACATCTTTATTATTAAGTCGATTGCTATTGTTATGCGGCTAGAATAATAATTGGCATGGCCCTGCGAGTGGCACAAGCTGAATTGTAATCAATTGTAATATATTTCACCGTATTTTACGACCGACCGAAATTGTGTCGCGCGAATGCGACGAAAATGGTAGATATGGTGGAGGATATGGACAGCTTGGACGACAAGCTGTTCAGTAATGCATTTAGGAGAAATCCAACCGCTGAAAACGGCAAAAAGAGAATTACGTTTGCAGGTTTAATTAAAGCACATTAATACGTATTTTATAAGTGACGTCCAAGCCGCACATTTGAAGAAACGTTTAACAGAGTTTTCATAGCTTTCTCGTATTCTTATGTATTTAGATTATTTCATTATTTCTTGCTTATAGATGAGGACGATCCACTAGCTAGTTTGCTAGCTGATAAGGAAGATTTGCCCTCGAGCCAAAAGAATCCAGTAGCGGTAAAAGATAAGCGAAGTATAATAGATGACTTGTTTAATAAAAGAATTTCCAACGAGTCGTTGTCGAGCTCAAAGCCGGACGGAAAGGAAATGGGCTCGACGTCTGCGTCAAACACCACGGGAATTGAGAGGCCAAAAGCATCGGATGACAAAGCAAAAAAGTTATCGTTGATGCAAGATTTGTTTGGAGATACGTCGCAGTTGAAAGAGTCAATTAGTAAGAAGTCTGTACAGCTGGAACTGGAAGTGACACAGCCCACAGCCGAGGTTTCTAAGACACAATCGCAGCATTCGACGTATGCGCCAACGGCTTTTGGAACGAGAGAACCCCGCAGAGGCAAAAGAACCTCAGAGATAATCAACGATCCTCTAGGATTGTTCTCCTTGGGCGCAACGTCAAATCAAGCTGAGCAAAATGTGAATATAAATTCAAAATAGGCTTGTATATTTAACACGGTCTGATAATATTTTATTTTGCTTGGTATTCATGCTTAATAATTTTGTTCTAATTTCAAAGACGACAGAGAGACGTACAGCATCTGCAGATCTTAGCAGACAGAAATTGGAAACTAAAGACTATTTACCAGATTGGTTGGAACCTAAAAAAAACCTGGAAGATAAAAGCGATGATATTCAGGATAGAGTAACGCCTACCGAAGAATTGTTCATCAGCAAGCACAGAAGATCCAGCTCTGATAAAATTATTCGAGGGGTAAGCAGCAATACTGATATGTAATATAAAAATGGTTTTATTTTTTTTTTTAATTATTCATTGCAGGTGGCAAACGTACCACAAGAGGATAATACAATGGTAGCTGAATCACTGCCACACGAAAAAGAAAGATCATCAAAATCATCAGGAAGTCAAAAAGAGATCAATGAATACGAGAAACAGGAAGTTGAAGAAAATTATTCTAAAGTAAGCCTTGAAGTCGTTTTTAAAAAGGAATTATATATCATTATGGTATTGCAATCGAAATTTATATTCAATCTTCTGATGTAGTCCAACACAATGGCTGTTCCAATTACTAATGTAAATACAAATTCGGAAAATGTGCATAGTAGCTTAATTTCCAAGAACATGGGCTATGAAAGTGCAATTCGTAAATTAGAATTAGAGAAGTCTCATCTGTCAGTGACGTTACATAGCTTAAATGAAAAGTATGAAAATGAGATAACGATTCTAGATGAATCATATAAGTAAGTAGGATTTTTATCAAATTAAAATATCGACGATTTTTTCCCAAAAATTATTCATACAATTTTGTTCCTAAGGCGACAAATAGGATTCTTACAAGAAAGAACGGATACATTGGAAAAGAGAATGCAGCAAGAACTTGAGTGTTTAGAGGCAGATTATGAGGCAAAGATTGAAAAGCTGAAAAATGAAAAAGTACAAATCGAGACATTTTACAAGGAAGAATTGCAGAATTTAAAGGTATAAGATGGTTCAGTATTTTAAAATTGTCAATGGTTATACTGTTACAATTAATATTAGTTTTAATTAATTAATTTTATTTAGAAGGAACACGGGCAAGTTATAGAAGAAATTTATGAACGCCACTCTCAAAATATAAGACTGTTGCAGAAAGAGCATTTCGATACGATAGAAAGTATATTAAAAATGAGAGAGGTGGAGAATTTAGCTATGACAACCATAGCGACCCACAAGACTGACCTGCCAAACTTGTTACAAAAAGCTGATTTTATTGTAGAGAATATTAAAAATGTGCAAGAAAAGACTGATCAAAGGGACGACCAAAGTATAAAGTTAAGAGAATATTATTTAAAAAATCAAGAGGAAGATGTGCAAAGTATGTTCAAGATGCTGTTAGGTAAATAATTTTAAATAATTTGTAGTTTTATTCACTTTTGTACAATATTATTACAGTACAAAATATGGAAGTGAAGAAGCAACAGAAATTACTGGAACAAGAACATGAGAAAATAATGAAAGTAGCAGACAGATTGGATTCGCACGTTACGCAATTAATGTTCGAGTTAGAGAAAAAGAGCGCTATGCTCAATCAGGCATTGGAAACACTACAAAAAAGGGAGCAATCTTTGTCACACGAAAAAGAATTGTTTGAAGAAAAAGTACAATGGGAGCGTAATCATTTACAGGTAATTATCTAGTATTGATAATTGATATCTGTATGAATATGTATTATGATGTATCTGAATGTGTATTATCTACGATATATTATAAGGCTATGAAAGAATCTTGGTTTAACGAACAAGAGAAACAACTGAAGGCTTTAACAAAGGAGAAAGAAGTGATCGCGGCTAAAAAGAAGCAATATGAAGTTTTAAGGACAATAAAAAGTAATTCGGATAATATTACGAAGATAGAGGTAAATTAAATGGATAAATCTCTATGAAGTAAATATATATTAGAGAAATAAATAAATAAAAAATATTGTTTTACAGTCGGCAGCTGCAATAAAAGCAGCACAAGATGCCACTATACTCGCGAATCAGGAACGACTGAAATGGCAAGAAAAAATTAAATATCTCGAAGTGCAACAGCAGGCCTTAGAGGAAAGGGAATACCGGCTCTTAGCACGCGCCCAAGATCTCGAGAGTTTTACACAGGTAATGATTATCAAATGTACATGTGATTTAAACAGACGGTAATTAATATAATTAATTATCTAGATAGCATTTGCGAAAAATGAAGAAGCCATTAAAGCACTGAGAGACGTTCATCACATCGATAAAGCTAAATTCAATCCTTATGGCAAATTTGAAAATATCAATTTGGCAAGGTAACATGATACAATTGAAGCCGTTTTAATAGTGGAAAAAATTAATATGCTTGAATTTTGAATTTTTTTTAGTGAAAAATTGGCTTTGGATAAATTGAAAAGAAGTACAAATACCCCGTACAACTACATAGACAAGCGAACATTATCTAATCAGCAACGCGAGTTTCAAGTTACTACTCATTTTACAGTAAGAGGAAAATAAATATGAAACATATAATAATAATAAACTTCATTATTTTGAATTATTCTATACATTAATATTTTACATATATATATATATATATATTTTTACACAATTGTTTTATATATTTATACACAATTGTTTTTCAGGAAGTCGTTGATCCTCAATTAGTAATGTTGAAGTTGAACCTGGACGATCAATTAGATAATATTCAATATACATGACTGCCATGAAGTTTTGCTACACAACAAGCAAATGCATATTATATACTTTTTGCATGAACACTGTTTAGTATTTTATATATTTCAAATAACAGACAATAAACATTCACATATTTATTACGTAACAGTTGAATCACCATTGACGCTATCCGTTGAATCACCAACAGTTAAACTTGTACTCTCATCTGTAAATAATAACCTTCAGTCACTATATATCCTATTGTTATAATTGTTATATTTCAAATAGATATATTTCTTCCTCTTGTTATTATTTAATGCTTTATATTATCATTTCAATGTTCAATAAACAGCAAACGCACTACTATTAAAAGTATTGAAAAGTCAAAATCAAATATTACCTTCAATATTATCGTTATTATCCAAGATATATTCTTGGAGCGTTACTACATTTTCTTTCAAGGTTTCCAGCTGAGCAATACTGCATCTTGTTTGATATAATTTGCTTCCTACAGCTTCTGTGCACGTTGTCTAAAAGACAGATTACAAAGTATAGATATACTTGCTTAAGGATTCTCCATTTTATATCTCCAATGCTTGAATAACTTCCCATATTTCTTACCACAGCTTGAATCAACTTTAAAGGATCCACGTTATCCTCCTTATCGTTAGTGAGAGCTTTGTGAAGATCTCCTACGTTATTCAATAATTGAATCGCATCGGTGAACATTGTCGCCACGTTTCTGAAACAACACGTCAATGTCTCATAGTCTCAAGAAAGAAAATAGAAGATTCATATACTGTGATACATACTCTGCAAAATCGTGTGGCACAGGCAAGCCTGAGACGTCATTCGTAGTGTTTACCATTTTTTGTATAGAATGCTTGTGCGACGTAATCGTACTGAAATGTTTTGCAATGTTCTCCTTGCATTGTTCCCTGTCCTCTGTGAACAATGGGGACATTTACGCATTTAATTGCGACGATTCTCGACTGAGAATGGAACAATTAATTCCAATTAGGCAGAACTCACTTCTCAAGTCTTGCAATTCCTTCAGCAACTTCTCGTACTCGTTGGTCTCCGTGTCAAGACGGTCCAATTCGCGTTGTTTAGCGAGCCTTTTCTGCTGCATAACCTTTATAAAATGTTCTACGTCCTCCATGTCCAACAGATCACGCGCTAACGGGCACGAAAAATATTCTGAAAAGTCTATCGTAATATTTAATAGAAATTTCGAAAACCACTCCCGAAACGTCCCTCGATTTCATTTCAACAAGTTTTCAAACAAACTTCCATGCACATCTGTAGTATAAAAACGCAGGATAGGCAACTACTGAATTATCGCATTTCCCAATCCTACAGGAAATCGATCTTTTCCCCTAGGACGGAAGCGTGAAAAGTGAAAAGAATCGTCTTATCAACACTCTGCGCTGATTGGTTGGTTCTAAAAGTAAGAGCCAATCACGTTCGACTGCTACTCAGCAGCTGAACGCGCCCAATGGCCGCGTTCAGCAGACACAAATGTTGAGTTCGCCTTATCAACGCTCTGCGCTGATTGGTTGGTTCTAAAAGTAAGAGCCAATCACATTCGACTGCGACTCAGCGGCTTGCTGCCGAACGCGACCATTGTTGCTGGACTAAACTGGATTTGCGTGTTTGAGCTGTTCGGTTTCTCATCTAGAGTTCTAAACAACAATGCACGATCCGTGGACTGTCATGGCGGAATTAACATATATATTCGCGCACGTGTAGCGTGCCCGGTTACGTTGCACTTTGTTGCAATTCTAATAATGTGACAGGAGGCCTCGGCCGGGCAATTCGTTCGACATCATTTTGAACAGATCCCAAAATGAGCACGATCTTGGAAAAAATCGCCTCGATCGAGGCCGAGGTAATCACCGCTCCGTGTTATGCCGCGTATACGCGATTCACGAATATATTTTTCGCGGCATTATCGCAACACCGTGCGTCTCCTCTTCCAGATGGCCCGCACCCAGAAGAACAAGGCGACCTCCGGGCATCTGGGTCTGCTGAAGGCGAAACTAGCCAAGCTTAGACGCGAGCTGATCACCCCGAAGGGCGGCGGCGGGGGTGGCGAGCAAGGTTTCGAGGTCGCCAAGACCGGTGACGCTCGTATCGGCTTCGTCGGTGCGTCCCTCTCAATTATATCGACAAATAATGACAGACAATATGTTGACAGATAACAGTCTCGATGTTCCTTGATCTGTTTGTAGCATGTGTGTGTGAGACTTTTTAAAATATGATAAAATCCTTATTGATTATGTTATACACGACATTCTTATGTTTCATTCTACGCACGATTTTACCTGATAATTAAATTTTCAGGTTTCCCTTCCGTGGGAAAGTCCACCCTGCTGTCCACACTTGCCGGTGTGTACTCCGAAGTAGCCGAATACGAGTTCACAACCCTCACAACTGTCCCTGGTTGCATAAAGTATAAAGGTGCAAAAATACAGGTAAATCCATTTCCCCAATGGATACGGTTTGTTATATATTTTGTGCATCTGGTGATCGACCTTTTGTATCAGTATTTTTTGTCTTGAATATTTCTCAGTTTAAATTGAAATTAACTGTATGTGGCAGTAAAATCGAGTAAGATTGTAACAGAATGCATCTTGCAGCTGTTAGATCTTCCAGGTATTATAGAAGGCGCAAAAGACGGCAAGGGACGCGGACGACAAGTCATTGCTGTGGCACGAACATGCAGTTTGATCTTCATCGTCCTGGACGTGCTCAAACCGCTCGGGCACAAGCGGCTGATCGAGCACGAATTGGAAGGTTTTGGTCTGCGACTGAACAAACAGCCACCAAATATAACTTTTAAGAAGAAGGACAAGGGTGGTATCAATTTACAAACAATGGTAAGAAAATGATCGAGAATAACCGATTGATAATTGAAGTAATTTATTGTACCCGAATTGACCTTTTTGTAAAATGAGGTATAAGGGAAAGGTACCAATACCCGAACATGTACCTATATCCGAACACCTTTATTATTTATAAGTATAACGCGAATTAAAATCAAAGATGAAAGTATTTTTTCTTGTAGTTTGAAACTTCAGTTATAATATCCAAACGTTTATTTTCATAAATTTATATTTTTTTAAAGGTATCCAGACACAGATACGTGTTCAGGTATTGGTACATTTCCTATGCTTAAGTGTTCGGGTATTGGTACCTTTCCCTTACATGGGATGAGAGTTGAAATCGAACCTACAATCCGTCGACTAAAGAGTCGACCGTTCTCACGTGAAATCGTGCGTTCCCGAGTAACCGATTAGTGTTGATACTTGATACAGCGTCAAATATTGAAATTAAAAATTATTACGATTGTTTCAGTGCCCGCAAACTGAACTGGATTTCGATACGGTAAAAATGATCTTGTCAGAATATAAAATTAGCAACGCGGACATCACGCTAAGGTACGACGCCACTTCAGACGACTTGATTGACGTTATAGAAGGGAATCGCGTTTATGTCCCTTGCATTTACCTCTTGAATAAAATAGGTAATTGTGTGATAATAAACATCATAAGTTCATAAGTGTATTATAATAAGAAACATCGATAAATAAGAATGCTCTCTCGTAGATCAAATAAGCATAGAAGAACTAGATGTTATTTATAAAATTCCACACTGCGTGCCGATCTCAGCCCATCACAAATGGAACTTCGACGATCTGCTGGAGAAGATGTGGGACTACCTACAACTTGTTAGAATGTAAGTTTACAATTTAAATTGTTGTATAAACTAATTTATAAAATTCTATTAAAACGACATATAATTTTCATTTTTTGTAACAGTTACACGAAACCGAAGGGACAACTCCCAGACTATAACGCACCCGTAGTATTAAATACCGAAAGGCGAACTGTTGAAGATTTCTGTAACAAGCTTCACAGATCGATTGCGAAAGAATTTAAATAGTAAGTTTTTCGTATTTTATTTTTTATAATTTTTGAAAAATGATTGTTATTTGCTCGTTGCTGGATATTAGCAAATCGGTCATGTTGCAGCGCGTTAGTATGGGGCTCATCGGTAAAACACCAACCTCAGAAAGTAGGGAAGGACCATCTTCTTTGTGACGAGGATGTTGTGCAAATTGTGAAAAAAGTGTGATGTTTTTCTTGTCGTTTCTTGGCAGCACAAATAAACTTAATGAGATTAATGATATCAGGTTTGTAAAAAGATTATTGCATTTTAATTGAATATAATGGATATATTATATACGTACATATAATATATATATTTAAATCGCTATTATATTTGATTGATGATGAGAAAACATGCAAATGTAACATAAATAATGAAGAACTGTGGTAAATCTTTGCAACATTATAAATACATTTGGTTTTATATGTGAAATTGTGTATAAAACACAATCTCGAGATTTATATTTTATACCTATCATTTAAGCTTTCTTGAATGGGTATATAATATACGATATAAAAAAAATCTCAAATTATACATTTTTTATTTTGTATACTCGTATGAACGGAAATAATCCTTTTCCCATATAAAATATCCATATAAATTAAGCAAAATATTAAAGATACGAATTATCGATATGATTTATTTCGTATATAACGTCATATTTCGTAACATATATAATTCATGGCAAATAATTCGTGTTTTAAAAATGGAAAAAATATTTCTATAGTAAAAATTAATTTATCCTTACATATACACATACATATATATACATGCAATCATAAATTATTTACAAAGTTTTCAAAATATATTCCTTTCTTTGTTGGTCCAGTAATTTTTCCAAGTGTTCGCATCTTGAATTAGCGTCACCAAGTTTTTTATTGAGATTCTTTATAATTAAAACCTTTTGAGTGACTATAAATTTTATTCTAAAACAAAGCGTCATATTCATTGAGTCTACAATATTTGTTGCGATGTATTACAATAATTTATGATATCGATTTATGCATTAATCTTTTATGCGTTATCAGACATTAATCTTTACCTGCTATGCAATTGTGCCATAAGTTGATCTCTGTTAACGTTATTCTGTGTTATTTCTTGATAAAGCGATGCGATTTTATCTTCCAACTCTCTTTTTTCCGTCTCAATTTCCTTCCTTGCTATCTTTTTTGCATCGTCTCTCTCTGTAGTCAACCTTACAATCGTCTATAAATCGACAAATTGCAAATTAATCATAGTAATGATACGTAATCAATTGGTTATTTTCATAAAATTTACCTCATTCATATTATTGAGATTGGATATGCATTCTTTTAATTTGTTTTCTGTTTTTCCAAACTGAATTTCTGTACATTTGAATCTTTCTTCCAATAATAGTAATTTATTTTTATAAATACCCTCGCTTTTAATTGCGGCTTGCAATTTTGCATCGTAATCTTCTTTCATTAGTCTGAAAATGATTTCGACAATTGAATTGTGACAATTTTCTTAATACTTCTATGCTTAATTGGGAAGATACGTTATAAACTTACTCCAATTTATTATCGAAACTTTGCTGCAGTTTAGCTTGCATTTCACGAGATTCTTTTTCCAGTCTAACTATAGCGAGCTCTATCTGCTTGTCTCTCTCCTTTTGACAATTGTTACGAATTGCAGTCTCCGCTTTTGTGAAAGTCACGCTTTGTTCTTTTTTATAATTATCCGCCCACGCGAGCCATTCTTTTCTCAAGGATTCCTCGCAATTCCTCTTAGCAATTTCGTGTTGCTCTTTTAATCTTTCCGTTTCTTTCTGCAGAAAAAAGTTAAGTAATTATATAAATTATTGTTAAATGATTGTTTCTTGTCAACAGTGAAGAATATTTTTAAAACCGACCTGAAAATGTAATTCCGTTTGTTGTATCATCACGCTTGTTTTCCGGTCGCGTTTCTTTTGCTCTGCAACGAGCATCGATTTCTCTCTTTCGAAATGCTCCACGAATGTCTTTTGTTGCGTCTGAAAATGCGCTTCTTGCTCTTCCAGGTTTTCTTTGTACCTAATCAATATCACTTATGATTTATATAGACTTAATTAAAATTAATTTATTAACAATTAATTGTTATTAATTTTTTGGCGAAGTAAATGTCTTATTCGGATTAATTTATTAATTAAAATTATATTAAGATTGATACACGTTGTGCAGGATTTACGATACCTAGCCGCCAATATATCTTTCTCCTTGGCCAACATTTTCTCATGGCTGTCTGTCAACTCGATTCGCAATTGCTCCAGCTGCTGATTCGACCTACGCATCGCGCGCAATTCCGTATCTTGTAACTCCTTTATATGCGTGCGTCTTAACTCCTGTATCTCCTGTTGATGTTGCTCCATCATATTGTGCAATTCTGGCTCCAGCCCTTTTATTGTCATTTCCTACGATATCAATAATCTCCGTGTAGTATTTAATTATTTATTGCGCCGTGTAACTTCATTATACTATATATAACATTTTGTCTGTAATGTCAGTTACCTGTCAGATCTCTTTGCTCATCCCCCCTGCCTAAAGATATTATTTTCCAGAATTGAATTTGTAATTTGAGACTCGAGAAGTGCGCTCTTGAATTATATTTTCTAATAATAATCGACATAAATTAACGATTACCTTGATTTTTGATGTTTTCATCTCCAGCCATCGTTCACGCCGGATCTTCTCGGACGCTGCCATGTTCTCCTTCGCGCGTTGCAACTCGACGGCGTGTCTCTCGCTAATTACTTTCAAGTCTCGCTGGATCTTCTGTTCCATCTCTTTAATTTGTCGCGCCAGGGAGTCGCATTTCTCCGTGAGATCCGCCTTCTCGGCGAGCAGTTGTTCGATAAACTTCTGATGGCGTTTCACGATCGTCCGGTACTTGTTCTCCAACTCCTTCGTCCTGACAACGTGATGGCGTTTCTGCGACGTCATTTTATCGCACGCCGCCTTGCGCTCGGACTTTAATTGATTTTTCAAACACTCTATCGTCGCGTTTTTCTCCTCGATTTGTAATATCGCGGTCTCTAAATCGTCCCGTTGACAGCTGAGGTTCTGCACTTCGTACCTGCGGGAGGAGAAACGTTTTACATAATTTTTATCCGTTTTCTTCTTTCACGCGCGATACACTTCGCTTACGAGATATTAGAGGAAGTCCCCACCTACTAGGATTTTGGCAGGACGAGATTACAATTGTTGCATTATTGGCAGCTACGTCACTCTCCGGCGTATCTTCTGCAATAAAGATTGTAACATTACACAAATTTTTTTTTAACAAATAAAATAAGTGAAACCCTAAATTTTTTAAGTATAATTTTAACGATGCTAGTTCATTAAATCTTAGTACCATTTTCTAGCGTCCCTAAGAAGGACATTATATCATCGTAAGTTGTTGCAATTGACCCACATTTGTCTGTGGCAACATCTTTCTCCGGTTCGATCTGCGCTCAATTACAATTTGATTTTTAATAACGGAGCGAAGTTATCGCGCTTATGAATATCGATATAATCCCTGAATAAATCAGACTTTATTCTCAAAGATAAACTTAAAGTTGAACTTTTTATTTCTTACTTGTCCCGAGTACTTGCGCATTGCTGGCTCGAGATCGACATCGTATTTTACATCGACGGCCAGTAAATCCATTCGATTGCATTCCGCGATTTCAATATTGCTATCTTTTTCCAATTTGTTCATCATGTTGCACAACTGTTCGAACGAGCGAGACGGCTCGATCAGGTTCTGATTGAAATCACGCTTTTTCTCGCGTAAATTCTTCGCTGCCATGTCCGTTTGATATATTTGCCTACGGGAAAATATGTAAACGGGGTATACCGAGCTGGTCGACAAACTTACGTGCATTGACGTGCAGATGCATTTATTTAAGCGCCGCTCGTCGATCGCCATGGCGATGCACGTGTTGTAAACAAGGGTGAATCAGGTGAATGGGTTCTCTTTAGGGCCCGAGCAGAGAATAGCTGACGTATAATTTCAAGACAATGTT